TGTCCAATGAACTCAATAAATATCCCAGTAATATCTCCCGATGATGTAGTAGTTTATCTGAAATCCTTAAAGCAGTCCTTCAGTTATGGTCCTGACCAGATCCCTACTTGTATTCTTATAAATTGTTCTAAGTATCTCTATGAGCCGTTAACAGCGATATTTAATTTATCTAGTCAACATGGATTTTGCAAGGGCAAATCAACTTCTACAAATTTACTCGAATTAACATCCTACATATCAAAAGCATTTAGTGAAAGCAAAACTGTTGATGTTATATATACTGACTTCAGTAAAGCATTTGACAAAGTGTGCCACTCGTTGCTCATCTACAAACTTGATCTTCTTAGTCTTCCACCTAATTTTCTACGTTGGATCTCTTCATACCTCTATGATAGATCACAAAGGGTAATGTTTAAAAATACTATCTCTGACGTCATTGATGTTACTTCAGGGGTCCCTCAAGGTAGCCACCTAGGCCCGGTTCTGTTCTTGCTTTTTATAAACGATATTTCTACAGATATACAATTTTCCAAAATTTCAATGTATGCAGATGATAAAGCTTTGTAAATCGTACGTTTCAATTAATGAAAGGTCTTTGCTACAATCAGACTTAGACAGCATGGCTTACTGGTGTCAAGTAAATCTTATGCCTCTAAATCTTAAGAAATGTAAAGTAATGAGCTTCTCGCGAAGAGCTGTTCATCCCACTTCTTATACAATAGGTAACCATAACCTGGAACAGGTATACAATTTTGTGGACCTTGGTATCACAATGGATCCTAAGCTTAATTTTAATCTTCATATTAATGTGACAGTCAACAAGGCTAAAGGTGTACTTGCATTTGTGAAACGATGGTCAAACGAATTTTGTGACCCTTATATCACTAAAACCCTGTTTACAACATTAGTTAGGCCAATTCTGGAATACGGTTCGGTGGTTTGGAATCCAAGGTATCAAATTTACTCAGACAAGATAGAGTCAATTCAAAAACAATTCCTACTTTTTGCTTTAAGAAATTTCCGTTGGGATTCTCAATATAACCTTCCACCTTATACGAGCCGATTAAAACTTATTAATCTTCCTACACTTTCCAGCCGCAGGCAAATGATTCGTACAATTTTTATAGTTAAATTACTAACAGGCTCAATTTCAAGTCCGCTTCTTCTTGGCGAAGTTAGCCTTAATGTTCCCTCCCGGGTATCTAGACACTTTTTCCCCTTATTTCTGAAAGCTTGTAAAACTATTTTTGAATTGCACGACCCACTCCGTTGCTTATGCCAGGATTTTAACTCTCATTCCAGCACGTTTGATATATCAGATCCGCTTTTCAGCATTAAGAAATCTATACTGTCCTCTCTCAATAAATGAATCATTAAAATAAAGACATAAAATTGGCTGATGAATTTAGTTCTGTACAGAACAGTTTTAGATCTCGACACTTAACAAACTCCTGCCTATCGTGACTCGGCGCAAAAATTGAAAATACTGGTTCCGTACGTCATGCGGACTGCGCCCCGCGTGCGGATGGGCGGGAATGGAGGGTAAAAACCGTTGGGATATTATTATTATTATTATATACATATATATTTGACATCTGGGAGCACTAGATTTCCTATATATAAGAGGAAACCCACGCCGATCAGTAAAGTATTTACATATTTCTAATGTTTCACGGTTTCAAGAATACAAGGCAGATTATTAGTTTGATACTAGGAATGTGCTGAGCCGATATCCTTAAGTATTGATCGAAAATGGGTACTAGGCTTTCGAACTTTTAAAAACACCTAAGGGAGGATAAAATAATTTTAAAAGACGACTTTGTAAGAAAACGATTTTTCTTCAGGAGGACACAATATTCGTTTCATTTCTCTACAAAATTAGCGGAAGAGGCATTTTAAGAGTTTTAATAAATTCATAAAAAAAAAATCAACAATAAGCCATTCCATGAATGGGACAAAAACATTTCAATGAAGTAAAAAAACGAACATAGGTACATCCATATATGTTATGTTATAAGTAAGTGGGACCATTTAATTTTTAATTTAAACTTTTCTGTGCGTTGCGCCCTCTATAATTTAATAAATACACTTAAAAACTCGTACTTTCGAAAGCAGAAGTCTTATCAACTTTGATTTACCCTCTTTTAACCGACTTCAAAAAAAGGGAAGGTTATCAATTCGTCGGAATATTTCTTTTTTTAATGTATGTTACCGCATAACTTTGGACCACGTCAACCGATTTCGATAACTCTTTTTCGATCGGAAAGGTAGTGTCTCATACTAATTTGGTTTAGATTCGATCATTGGATCATACAAAAATTTATGGGACTCCTAAATTTTCATTGAGAATTGAAGTCGGTTGTGTTTTTTGCTTAAAAATTACTTGTTTACATTCATGCAATTGATCAGTCGGATCAATATGCTGCTTATGTATTCCAAACACGACATTTGAAGAAAAAAAATAAAATGCCCAGCTGCACCTTTTACGCTTGCAAGCAATTCTAACATATTTATATGTATTTTATTTCTTTTTTTATTCATACATTTAATGTTGCATTCACACTCACACATTGCCATATTAACAAATCAATCGCAAATCAACCATTAATTGCGACACTTCCGTGGTACTCATCTTCACACCTCATTCATCATACTGAATCGTTAATCGCGGCAAATATAATAATTGAAACTCAATGCCAATCGTGCTACTGGTCTGCGCCTAATTTGTACTTGTACAATGTACGAGTACATACTCATGTACATAAATTATATATTTCACTGATTCAAAATGCTATAATAAATTTGCAACGATTGGGAAATGCGAAAAAAAACGTAAATTCAAATAAAAAAACTCATAAAAAAACCGGACTCACTTGAAATCCCCTTGACTTGGAAACCAACCATCCGGTCCTTAAATTATCCCGTTAAAAATGCAGATAACGATCCTAGCTTGCAACCGCAATATGCGGAAGAATGTGACTCCACAGCAGCAATAGGAGCTGAATACTTCGAGGAAGACCTCGATTTAGCAGATGCCAATCGGCAAAATCGTAATAACTTCTCTTGGCCTCCACCCAAGGAAGACAGTCCCGTTGTACCGACAGCAGCTCCACTTTATATTCCTCCACCGGAAACTCAACATGCAGTAGCGAAGCCCCTGAAAATTCCACAACCACAATCTGAAAATGAATTGAATAAGGGGCAATCTCGGTCACAGAATAAAGAACAGCAACAAGTACAGTATTGTCAACCGAATTGGCAAAGTAAGTCGGCACCCCAGCTGACTATCGGATTGCAGCCGCCCGAAATCGAATCCAGTTCGGAAAGTTTTACTTCAACTTCCACAACAACGACTACTACTTCAGAAGAATATCAGCGAATGTATGCCGCTCAGGTGCAAGCCTATCAAATGCAACAAGTTTATGAGCAGCAATCTGGATCTGAGTTAGACTACCATATGGATATGGAAGTGGCTACAATGCAACAGAATTTGCAGGAATCGTCTTGTATAAGCTCGTCTGAGTATATTTCTGGACGCCGTAGTGCTCAGGAATGCGTTGAATCCTTGGCTGCTCCATTGAACACTTACAAACTCATTGATATGGTGAGAGAAGTAACGCCCAGCCCTATTCCTCCTCCGAGCAATCTGGGTCCTAAGCATGTTGTTTTCCTGGACGAACCCGAGACAAAAGAAATTCCAGCAGAAGTCATCGAAGAAAATTTGCCAGAAGAAACAAAATCTGGTAAGAAAATGACCTCACAAACTGAAACTACTACCTCAGACACTTCAGAAAGAAATGATATAGAACGTAAAAATTCTACAATTGAATGCGGAAACTGTCAAAAAAACAAAGAGGAAGGCGAAACTTTTGTTAAAACTCAACGTAGTGAAATACTGGAGTGTCAGCGAATATTTCAGCCAACTCCTGAGATTAAAATTGAAATTCCTCCAGTGCGTCAAATACCCCCATCGAAAATTCCGAACCCAGTGCCGAAAGAGTGGATTAATCCTTTGGTTAGGGTGTTGACTACGGCACCCGATGTGCCATTTCACTTAGTGGAGTGTCCATGCCCTAAGCCTTGCGATTGTGAGTTCGTAGCTTTGGAAACAGATAAACATATTGAAGAAACTATAAAAAGAGAGGAAGTTAAACAAACCGAAGTGCCAGAAGAAATTAAACCGATCGAGGAAGATCCACCGAAAGGTTCACGACTCGCAAGTGCTATGACTACCGCGCCAGAGTGGGAAGTGTATTTTCAGCCGCCCCCTTCTGAAATGATCCCACTTCCCGAAGAAACCACTCCATATATGCCACCACCAATCGATATGAAACCATATATGCGGGAAGACTATAGGCCCAAATCTCCCTTTTTAAGCGCACTAACAACAGCACCAGAACGCCCTTTTGAGGGTCATTTCGATAGAGACGTGCCTATTCATTTGCTCGATCTCCCCACACCTAAGGAGCACCTTACTTTGTCCGATGCCTTACGTACTGCACCCGAACGGGCATATACACCGCTCAATCCAGCAAATTTCACACACTTGTTTGAGGAACAAGAAATAGAAAAGGAGAAAAAGAAACATGAATTTCAAGTTCTTGACCGAGAGAAGGAATTAGGCATTACCGCACTTGACAGTGAGTCTATCCAATACTATACAACGGAGAAGCGTAACACTTCCCAGCAACGAAAATCGTCCGCATTTGCGGCAATGCAAGCATTCCAACCAACCCAAGAGCCACTTATCTCCAATACTCCATGCCAATCTATTACGTCCTATTCCAAACATGAGTCTGATCCCGATTATGAAAGATATTATAAAGCTAAAGAGCGCAATAAAAAACGTATTGATTATTACCATAAAAAAGAAGAAGAACTTCAACAACAACAAGTTCAAGAAATTAAAATACTAGACACATCACAGACTAAACAATGTCAATCGTCCTCATTAAATTCCTATACCAAACAAAGTTCTTCCTCTGCATCCTCTTCCGCAGTCCAAACAGAATCAAACACCACTTCTACCAGCACATACGCCTCCAACTCAACTCAAGCTTCAAGTTCATCGTATCAAAGTAATGCCGGCACCGCCCTCTCTGGCACGAAAATTGATTTGCAAGAAGTTATTGACGAAACCACAGAAGAACTTGAACATTCTGAAGTGCTCTTTCCACCACCATCTCCGCTAAGCCATCTCCAAGGTAAAGCCGTTATATCCGGTTTACACAAAGCTGATACGATACCAAAATATCAACGCAATTGGACAAAACTGCCCACACAAAGTCCTGTTCGCACTCCAGAGCCAAGCGAACTTCGAGAAAATATCCCACTCGCTTTTGTAGATTCACCTGCTGCAAACTCATCAAGTAACCCGGTCCACAAGCCTGTGGCCCAAATAAGTACAACTACTGCAAACGAATCGAAGAGACAAGAGCAATCTTCGTTGACTGAACAACGGACGAAATCGCAAACTCAAACCAAACGACCAGTCGTGCCTGTTATAGTGGAAGACAGAGTGACTCCCCAAGTAACAATGGCTTTTCAATCCCTTGATGAACACTTACAATTAGACGAATCACAAAGACCAAACCGACCCTACACTCCATCAATTAGCAATAAACCTGTTCCAATAATTCCCTTTTATCAAACGCCGGAAGCACTCTGCTTTGACGAGTGCCCAGCCTCTCATGCTCGCACTTATGATCGACGCTCAGCTTCACCATTCCCGGACCGTGCACGATCCCCTGCTCCGGGCCCACCACCAAATCCGCTAGCAGCTATCCGCACACCACGAGTGAAAGATAATGAGTTGTCTTCCTTATCTCCGCGTATACTTCAAGCTGGCTCAATTACCACTGGACAAAGCTACTTGGGAGCTCAACAACAACAGCAAACCGAGATTATATCACATCTAGAACAAACTAGCAAAACAGGAAGTCAAAGCTACACTAAGATACCCGAAAGAATTCAGGAACATCAAATTGGTAATTACACAGTACAACGCCGAGAAAAAGCGTCCGTCAAATCCGATCAAAAGCAATCGAGCTTGGAAAGCCAAACAAAAATGCAAATTGGCGATACCCAGATTGAGAGAAGACGCCGAGTAACTGAAGAATATGAACACACTCAAAGCGCCCGTTCTGTAGAGATTCGTACAGGCACAAAAACTACTACAGTCGCTCCCGCTTCGTCAGCTACGGAGCGCCGTCAATCATACGGCAAAACAGGTTATGTTGCTAATCAAGCGCGCCGATTATCCGGCTTGGAACAAGAGATTACAAATTTGACAAGTCAGTCGCAGGCAATTAGCGCACGCGCCGCTGCTTTAACGGATACATCATTTCCACAAATAAGTTCTCCTGAACCGGTATCGAAGTTTCCGACTAAACCATTGCTTCCTCCACACGATGAACCTAAGCGTCCCAGCTATCTGTTTTCTGCGACCCCTTACAACAAAATGGTTGGTCCCCCGCCAGGATTCAATGAGCAAGAAAATGAGCAGAAACAGAATCAACAACAGTTGTCTTCCTTTCATGCTTTAACTACATATGGAGCATCTATGGCTTCGAAACAACAAAAATCATTAAGTACATATTCAAGCAGCAACTTCACAACTTCCACAAGCACAGCATCATCATTATCACAGCAAGCTAATGCCGCTAACGTTGGCAGTCTAACAAAAGCTTCTATTACTAATAATAATCAAGCTGACGCGGCAAGTGCCACGACCGCCGCCGCCAGTGCCATTTGCCCCGTAACGGGGACATTCTGTCGTCCAGGTCACACTTGCTGCCGACAGCAACAGTTGCAAGCGCAAACCATTGCAACTGGCGTAGTTAATTATACTGAGAATAATAACGTAACATATCGGCCGAACGCTTCCACAGGTATAACGGATATTAAGACTAATGCACAAACCACCGCAACGGCTATCGCTACCGCGGCCAATGCTATTGCGTATGCCACTGACACAGCGCCGCCTTCCTCAAGCACTGGTTCTGCCGCTGCTGCCGCGCCTACTTCTTTTCCGCCACCCAATACCATTGATAACAACAAGTCTAACGTTGCTCTCGGCGGTTCTACAGGTGTAGGAGGCAAGGGAGCCTTTGGCGCCACCTCGGCTCCAAAGCGTGGACGTGGAATCTTTAACAAGGCGGTCGGTCCCGGTGTTCGCGTGCCTTTGTGTAACAGCTGCAACATCCAAATCAGGTGATGACCGCATGCTGAGTCGAATATGTATTGGTGTTTTAACGTTATCGCCCGCTGATGTTGATATGCAAAATATGGTTTACTTTGTACCGCCCTATGTGCATGTTGTTCTTTTTCATGAAAATTGCCCCTTACATTTTTTTACTTTTAGATGGTAACCACTAATATTGTTAATAGCCAGCTCTTTTAGTTTGATATGTACATATATATGTACCTATATGTATGTATGTACGTATTTTTAATGCTGAAATTATTTTTGAGTTTCGCAATAATTGCTCAATTTAAATAGTCATACGTAAGCTGCATGCGGTATTTAACCTAATCGTGTCCTTGGCTTTATGCCTTGGTATTTCATTTTTGTTCGTTTTACAGAGCTTTGCACTAAACCCACTAACGCTAACGCCATACCTAAAGACAACATAAATGAAAAAAAATATAAAATTCTGTCGGACAATATTGAAATGGGTGCTAACTCAAGAGCTGACGGTGAAGCGACCGCAATGTTGGCAGAATCGATTGGGCGCATAAATATGGGAGATAAAATGGACAACTTTATGGCGGAAGCAGGAAAAGTAATTTCTAACATGTTGGAAGCTCGCTTGGCTAGCAATGGCCACACATTTTCGGCTTCCTCACATGGCGGCAGTACATCTAGTTTACGTAGCAATTGCAGTTCCAATCAGTCGCGAAGCCCAACGCTCATTCGCAAGCGTTTCGATTTGGACGACTTCAAAAATATTGATCCCTCCGACCCAGTCTCTTTAAAACCTGTTGTAGCCATCCAGCAATCGCCACAAGTTGCGGCCTCTTCGATTATAAGCCAACAGACGGATCCACACGCACCGAAAATATCTGAAAATGTTATTCTCCCAATGGATTTGCCTACAAGCCGTGCCATGGGCAAAGTTCTTGACCTTTGTGAAAGCAATAAGCAAAATGCTTTGAAGATAGAGAACAAAAGCGATCCTTTAATATCGCTAAATACATTAGGTGCGAAGTCAGCTAGCACAAACTGTGATAATAACTGCCAAGCAGCAGATGTGCCGCCATCGATGGTAGTAAGTCAGCCTCAAACAGTAGTATACCGCGAGAAGTCCGGTAGACCTCGAAACTCAGGCTCGGGTCATCGAGGTGGCGAATTGTCCATTCATGCGATGGATCGTAGGTCGTATATCGAACCGAAGGATGTCAACGTTAGTGATAGCGCTCGAGATGGCCCCGCATTCAGTATTAGCGTCAAAGCATTGGGCCCCAAAACTGACGATAGTGAGGAGGCTTTAAATACTGTCATGTCGCCGGAAAATGAACAAGTCGTAGGTCAGTTATTAAAAGATGGTAAGCGACCGATTTGCTGCCAGTGCAATATCGAAATAACAAAGTGAGTAGACATCTTCCAGAACCTAACAGGCCACTTTTATGCTCGTTAGATGTTCGATTTTGATAATGAAAAACGTAACCCTTGAGCTGTCTTCCTTTTCGAAATATCACTAACTATCTCCATAAATATTCTTTTTTAGGGGGCCTTTTATTACCGCATTGGGACGTATCTGGTGTCCTGAGCATTTCATTTGCGTAAATGCCAACTGTCGTCGCCCATTGCAGGACATCGGTTTCGTCGAGGAGAAAGGTGATCTCTACTGCGAGTACTGCTTTGAGAAATATTTGGCTCCGACATGCAGCAAATGCGGTGGCAAGATAAAGGTATGTACACGTGTCAATATGTTTAGTTGTTTGCGCCAACTCGCCCTGGATGTGTAGCAGCTTTTATTGAATTTAATTCTTATTAGGGCGATTGTTTGAACGCCATTGGAAAGCAATTCCATCCAGAATGCTTCACTTGCGGCCACTGTGGCAAACTTTTCGGTAACACCCCCTTCTTTCTGGAGGATGGAAACGCCTACTGCGAAGCCGATTGGAATGAACTCTTTACAACCAAATGTTTCGCTTGCGGATTTCCAGTTGAGGCAGGTGATAGATGGGTTGAAGCCCTGAACCACAATTATCACAGCCAATGCTTCAATTGCACTGTAAGTTTGTAACTAGTTAATGCAAATTCAAATTACAGTATTTACCCTTTTAACTAATGCTACATCTTTTTACAGTACTGCAAGCAAAATTTGGAAGGTCAAAGCTTTTACAACAAGGGTGGTCGTCCCTTCTGTAAAAATCATGCGCGCTAAAGCGAAAGAACGTTTGCTGCACGTCAGAGATCACGCATATTACAATACCTACATTAAAGATACACTGATAAACAATATCCACAAAAGTTATAATATAAACATATAAATTGTATTAATTAAAACCTGAATGTGAAAAGTACACGCTAAAGTCCTCGAATGCCTCTTTGCCTCGGCCTCAGCCTCAGCATCGAAACTTTTTTCCGTTATTATGCGAAATTTTGATGACGATCCTTTGATTCGAAATAATACATATGTACATACATAGATATGTAACTGAGTGCAAAATTGTAATTATAAGTAAATGTCGAGAATCCCAGTAGCACTAATTCACTAAACAGGCTGCATTCAAATGCACATTAAAGAACACAAACTCGTGTGTACTCTCGTACATATTTACGTATGAATGTGGGTTGGTTGGTTGGAGTGCTTCCTAGTCCCTGCCCAAGACACATTTAGCGCATTATTGGGCCATTTTGATACGTATGAATGTACTAAAAAACTATCTCAAAATGCCAAGGCTTTGACTTGAGCACGGTTCTACCGTTTCCAACGCATTAATAGACAACAGAGCAGGTTATCTTGAAAAATTTTGAATATGTACATACGTATTCTGCTCTCGATTTTAACAATTGTAATTTAATCTGGGAGTACACGTACATATTTATGTATGTGTCTATAGATATGTAATCCCTTCTCAACAAATTGAAAATTAATTGTTTTAAACTCAATGTTTGTGTGTAATGTAAGTTGAACGTCTCTGATGAAGACAAAGGTATATGTATATTAATATTTTTAATCATCAATTGAAACCAATGTTTATAAAACCAATTATGATGTCAACAAATAAACTGAAATCTTTACCACGTTCAATAATCACCTTTTTATTCCCAAGGAAATAATCAGCCTCATTGCATAATATTAGGTTCACATTGCGCCATAAACTCGAGTTTACGCTTTTGTGTTTACGAACAACCGTCAAGCGTTCACACTGAGTTGTTTAAGAAACTCGGAGTTTGACTTTTATTTGTTTACATTTTCTTATTCACATTGCTAAGGATTTCATACATACAGTGGGGTGAACTTTAAAGCCTTTAAAATAAATTAGTAAACGTTAGTGGGGAGTGCAATGGGGTATAGTCGTTGCGCTGGGTATGCAGTTACAGTTGCATGGCTGTACTCAATCCCGACTCTTGCGTCCTCGTTCGCGCACTCTGGGCAACGTGAGCAACCCATGTGGGAGATGCGGTAACCAATCAGAGTAAGGCTACTCCGACTTATTCGATTTAAGGGCTCACTGAAGTCTGCAGTGCCTCTGCCCGGCTGGTTGATGTCCTCGTAGGGACAAAAGCTGACATGACCGCCATCCAAGAAATGCGTTGAACGGGGCAAGGCAAGCAATGTCTGGGGCCTTGCGACGTCTACTACAGCTGCCATGTAAAGGAGCGCAAATTCGGAGTTGGATTTGTGGTGGGAGAGAGACCCCGTCGCCGAGTACTGTCGTTCACCCCGATGGAAGAGCATCTAGCCACAATCCGCATCAAAGCGAGATTCTTCAACATCTGGCTCATCTGCGAATATGCCCCGACGGAAGAGAAGGATGAGGCACCCAAGGCTCTCTTCTATGAGCGCTTGGAGCGCACGTACGAGCGCTGCCCTCGTCATAATATTAAAATCGTGCTTGGCGACTTCAATGCCAGGGTGGGCAAGGAAGGGATATTTGGAACCACCGTCGGAAAATTCAGCCTCCACGACGAAACGTCCGACAACGGATTGAGGCTAATCGACTTCGCCGGGGCCCGAAACATGGTAGTATGCAGTACTAGGTTCAAGCATAAAAATATTTATCAAGCTACGTGGCTGTCTCCGGATCGAAAGACGAGAAAGCAAATCGATCATGTTGTGATAGACGGAAGGCACGCTTCCAGTGTTTTAACGTCGAAAAACTGCAATCACAACAGACAGCCAGCGCTTTCGCTACTCGACTCTCACACCTGCTCTCAGAGAGCACTCTTCAACAAACCGACATATGCGAGCAGTGGAACCACATTTCCCGCTCATTAAGTACCGGCGCCGAAGAAGTAGTCGGAATTCAGCGAACCCGAAAGAACAACTGGTACGATGAGGAGTGTCAGGAAGCTGCAGAGAAAAAAGATGCCGCCTACAGGGCCACGCTGCGATCGGGCGCAACGCGCTCTATGTGGGACGGCTATAGGGATCTGAAGAGGGAATCGAGACGTATTTGCCGAAATAAGAAGAGAGAGGCCGAAATACGTGAGTGCGAAGAGCTTGAAATGCTGGCCAACAGGAAGAAGACCGGGCGTACTCCTGTAAGAACAATAACGGCGACCTATAACTGATGTCCAGAGCGTACTTAAATTATGGAGGGAACACTTTTCCGCCCTACTAAATGGTAGCAGCACGGAAAGTTGTGGAGAAGAAGAATCCGAGACCGTAGTCGATGATGACGGAGTCGACGTTCCACCGCCTGACTATGACGAGGTACGTATAGCAATAACACGGCTGAAAAACAACAAAGCTGCTGGAGCTGACAGCCTGCCAGCTGAGCTATTCAAGTACGGCGGCGAGGAGTTGATAAGGTGCATGCATCAACTCTTGTGCAGAATATGGTTAGATGAACGCATGCCCGGCGACTGGAATTTAAGTGTGCTCTACCTAAACCACAAGAAAGGTGACCCCGCCATTCACGTCAACTACCGCGGGATCAGCCTTCTAAGCATAGGTTACAGGCGTATTATGTGAAAGACTGAATCCCACCGTCAATGAACTGATTGGGCCTTATCAGTGTGGCTTTAGACCTGACAAATCCACCATAGACCAGGTATTCACAATACGCCAAATCTTGGAAAAGACCCGCGAGAAAAGGATCGACACTCACCACCTATTTGTCGACTTTAAAGCCGCTTTTGACAGCACTAAAAGGAGTGGCCTATACGCCGCTATGTTTGGCACCCCCTCAAAACTCATACGGCTGTGTAAAATGACGTTGAGCAATACCACCAGCTCCGTCAGAATTGGGAAAGACCTCTCCGAGCCGTTCGCACCAAACGGGGTTTCAGACAGGGCGACTCCCTTTCATGTGACTTCTTTAATCTGATGTTGGAGAATATAATAAGAGCTGCAGAACTGAACCGCTCAGGAACACGTGCAATTGCTGGCTTATGCCGCTGACATCGATATCATCGGTATCAAAAACCCCGAAGTCTGTTCTGCCTTTTCCAAGTTCGATAGGGAAGCAAAGCGAATGGGTCTAGTGGTAAACGAGGACAAGACGAAGTATCTTCTGTCATCAAAGAAACAGTCAGCACATTCGCGCCTTGGCACCCACGTCACTGTTGACAGTTATAATTTTGAGAAAGTAGAGAATTTCGTTTACTTGGGAACCAGCATTAACACTGATAATAATGTCAGCATTGAAATCCAACGCAGAATCACTCTTGCCAACAAGTGCTACTTTGGACTGAGTAGGCAATTCAGGAGTAAAGTCCTCTCTCGACGTACGAAAACCACGCTCTATAAGTCACTCATCATGCCCGTGCTGGTATATGGCGCAGAGGCATGGACAATGACAACATCCGATGAGGCGGCTCTTGGTGTGTTTGAGAATAACATTTTGCGGCAAATTTACGGGCCTTTACGCGTTGGCGACGGCGACTACCGCAGACGATGGAACGATGAGCTGTATGAGCTTTACAACGACATGGACATAGTACAGCGAATTAAAATACGGTGGCTCTGCTGGCTTGGCCATGTTGTTCGAATGGACACCGACGCTCCAGCTCTGAAAGTATTCAACTCGGAACCCGCTGGTGGTAGCAGAGGAAGAGGGAGCCCCACTGCGATGGAAACAGCAGGTAGAGAAGGGCTTCGCTTCACTTGGCGTTTCCAATTGGCGTCAGTTGGCACAGAGGAGAAACGACTGGCGTGCTTTGCTGAACTCGGCCAAAATCGCTTAGGCGGTTACAGCGCCAAAAAAGAACAAGAAGAAGCAAAAGTTAGTTATGGGTTTTATCACTTTTAGGAAAATTACCAAGACGTCTTCACTGTTGGCAAGCGCGGTGTACAGTATCCAAAAGTTCTTCGGCTCTCAATAACTTCATTGTTTCTAAGTTCCAAGTGGAAAATAAATAGTGTTAAACCAAATTGTCCCAGATTAATTTTTTTCGATTTTTTTCGTTTCATCTATATACAGGGTAAAAGTAGCGTTAAAGTAAAGGAAAAAATATGACTAAAACTTTGGGAGTAGTATAGTTCTCCTGATATCGGCCGTTGCCATATAGCAACACGGGGCGCATTCCAGATGGATTCTTAGAGGGCAGTATTTGGTTAAAATATGACATAATAGAAACATTATTTATAAGTTTTAATACATTTCTGTGTTCATATGGAAAAGTAGCTTATGTCGAAGGGTTGGCTTTAGTATAATGCGGCATTCCTTTTATTCTTTAAACGACAAGGAATTTTTTGATGAGACTTAATAAGAATATTGACTTGCTAGTATCGGAACTATTTCTTGCACGTTTATTTTCTAAAAGTTGTTCAACGGCTCAGCGCCAGCGAATCATTCGGAATCGTATACTGCAAATGCCGATTTATATTAAAGTCAGCCTTTCGACATAAGCTACTTTTCCATACGAACACAGATTTATTGATAATATATGCATATTCTACGTACAACGAGGATGAAGAAGTTAATTTTTAGTATGAAAATTTGCAAAACATTTCAAACGTAAACCCAGATCACATTTTGCCAGGTTTAGTCACAAGTATGGAAACCCCCGAGGTTATGTAACATCGAGCTGTCAATTAAAGACCACACAAAGTATTTGGGAGTAGTCTTCGATAGTAAACAGCTGTGAATGCGCAATGTTGAAGAAAGAGAGAAGGTGGCCAGTAACGCCCTTTATGCATGTAAAAGAATGCTAGGAGTCGCTTGGGGTTTGTCACCTGCTCTGATGCTGGAATTCGGCAAAAAAGTCCTTATACCTCGGGCCAATGTAGAAGGTTCAGCGCCTAGCGGCACTGTGCATCGCGGGAGCGCTGAGGTCCACTTCGACGGCTGCTCTTTAAAAAACCCTTAGTTTACCGCCCATTGGCCGATTTGCGGAAAATCGTGCTGCGAAATCCGCACGTAGATTGACGGACATAGGGAAATTCAATTTCAGAATCTGAACCGCTTAATCGGGCCGGGAAGCACAAGCAGCACAGACGATTGAGGAGGAGGGATG